GGAGCCGGGGCCGAGGAGATAGAGCCTCAAAAAGGGGCTCCGTGGCTTCGGTAAATCCACGTTTTCCTCCATAACTAGAGCCCCTTTTTTAGGCTCTATCTCCTCGGCCCCGGCTCCGTTGTGGACTCAAAATACATTCCGTGAAAGCTGTTTTCCTCCATAACTAGAGCCCCTTTTTTAGGCTCTATCTCCTCGGCCCCGGCTCCGTTGTGGACTCAAAATACATTCCGTGAAAGCTGTGTCCAGTAGGATTACAACAAACTTGGTTTGAGGTCGATCCGAGCTTTCTACGCCGAGTTAGACGTGTTGTCCCAAATAGCCGTGCCGTATATATATATACAGAGCTACCGTGCTCACGAAGTATTACACGTGACGTGCAAACTACTGTCGTCAATACTTTGTGGGCGACTATAGGCGCCATCCGCAACTGATGCGCATACGCCCGTTTTCTTTGTCAGAACCGCCCAAAGAACGCCGAAGGCTTTTGAGGCTACACGTTCTTCGGTGTTGTCAACAAAGACCTGTTGCTTGTTCGAAGACCTGTCGGGGCTCTTCTTGTCGGCGAGAGTTGTGATCAGCAGCACCTCTCCGCGGCTGTTTGGTCTCCACTCGTGCCAAAACATGCGCTCACACTTGCCTGGCTGTGACACAGCTGCCGCTGGCCCAGCCTCGGCTGCACTCATGTTTGAGCCCGCGCGCACCTCAGTTTTTGTCTGATCAACTTTCCGAGGGGCTCTACCCGCCCTAAATCGGCCAAGCGACATCGATTGCCGAGGTGTACAACATCCACATCGGGCGGGAATGCGGCCAAAAATACTAGTCTAAATATTAGTCTTTTTTGAAGGGGTTCCCGAACCAATATTGTATTTGCACTTTTTTTTATAGAGATGGTTTTTAGGGTTCTCAAGAACAAGCGCGAAAGGTGGGAGAAGGCTCACGGGCGTTCCGGTGGCAGCAGCAGCGGCGGCGGTGGCGCTAGGAGGAATGCCGACGGAGAGGTACCCGACCCCGTCATGGCGGCTTTGCGAGCATGTGTCAGGACCCGATCCGGGGTGACGATAAGCGAGCCAGCTGAGCCGGTGAGATCCTCTACAAAGTCATCAATCAACACTTGCAGTTCTTTCGCCGAGAACCGTTTCAAAAATAGAACCCTGGTGAAGACACACGCAATAATTGCGCCGAGGTGGGGTTATTTCCACCGAGAGGATCGGATTTGCATGAATAGTCGCGCGAAGGGGGTTTTAATTCCACTGAGAGGATCGGATTGCATGAAAAGTACACCGAGACTCGTCCGTGTTGCTTCCCGCGCAAAGCAAGTGCCCAATTTTGTGTGTGCAGTGGTCGCTCTGTCAGTCGTGTCTTGTTGTTATGTTACGGTTCGTTGCGCAACGCCGTACCCTCCCCCCGCTCCTCCTCGTTCGTCATGTGTGCACACAGACGGCGCCCGCCGACTGGCGCCAGCAGTCTACGGAAACGTTTGTCGCGTCCATGGACAACATGGGGTAGCGGTGCATCTCTTGAAAGGCACCGGCTCAAAGTTTGCGAAGGAGACGCGTGTTCGCTTGCGAGAGTTGGAAGCCAAGGTCAGCACAGCGGTCTCTCTAGAGCCCTCGAGCAATCACAAAGGCAACGTAGAATCAAGGAGGGTAGCCGCACGTTCCAAACGATCCTCACCGCTGTGGCGTTTCCCGTGGACGACGTAGACGGGGCTCCATCGGTGTCAGCAAGACGTAGGGCAGCGGCGCTGGGGGTTCGCTAGCAAGCCTTCAGCTTTGCGGCGGAGCGTGCCAAGAAATTGCTGTCCGATCTCCAACCAACCGNTCTAGAGCCCTCGAGCAATCACAAAGGCAACGTAGAATCAAGGAGGGTAGCCGCACGTTCCAAACGATCCTCACCGCTGTGGCGTTTCCCGTGGACGACGTAGACGGGGCTCCATCGGTGTCAGCAAGACGTAGGGCAGCGGCGCTGGGGGTTCGCTAGCAAGCCTTCAGCTTTGCGGCGGAGCGTGCCAAGAAATTGCTGTCCGATCTCCAACCAACCGAGGCGATAAAGCGCTGTGTCTACTGGTTTTGGCCCCGAGCTAAGCACAGCGATGTCGCCAGCGAAGAGCTGCTGGAGTTGATGAGACAGAACTGGCACACGGACGAGGTGTCACGCCAGCATGGCAACTCAGCTGAGCGCGACATGTGGAAGGAGAGCAAGTCTCCGACAGCTCACCTCCACCCTCGGCGGCACCTTACGAAGCCGGGTGGGGGCGCAGCGGTGTACGCCAAGTTCCTCAACTGGGCGTCCTACAAGAGCTTCGAGGAGCGACAGAGCGACAACTTCATGGACCCTGGCCGTACGCTCTTCCTCTCGACGCGTCGCAAGTGCCTGGTCCTCCCTGCAATGGAGCAGTGCGCGTGCAAGATCCACTCGCAGCAGGTGCTATATATCGAGGCGCTAGCCAATGTCGACATGACCAGCCACGGGGAATGCGGTTGTCGATAGTGCAACGTAGATGGCGGCCGCAGGTGGCGGGAAACGTGGAAGCATTTGGGCACTTTTTCCGATGCAATTGCCTGCCCCATGGTCAACTTGCGGGCAGCGGACCCGGAAGGTGACAATTGGATGGGGCGGAAACCGGAGTGCAACGCTTTGACTGCGCTATGTGTGGGTTAGGGGGGACTGACGGCATTCCCATCTGATGCAAGCTGGAGACCTCCGAGCAGACGGTGGTATGGAAGATGTTCGAGGACGTGATCACTGTGCCTGCATCAGCGGGTGGGAAGATCAAGGCCAAGAAAGCTCGCCAACCAGACGGTGCCGAAGGAGGGCAAGCTTGGCGATCTTTGGTTGGCTTTCAAAGAGCACACCAAGCGGTACATGGCTCACCACTCTATCGCCAAGTGGCAAAGGCACTGCCACAGGCGTTGCTTGGAGACGTTTCAGGACGGTGACCTTGTCATCGAGACCGACTTTGCCGAGAAGTATACCCACCAATCCTTCATCAGCATGATGATGTTGACCACTCCTAGAGCCGGAGTGATTGCTGGGTATGCCCGTATTTGTGTCCAGTGACTAGAAAGTCTCGTTGATTGCTTGTATTAGATCCGCAGGACAAACGCACGACAGACAGAGGAGAAAGAGAGTGCCCCACACAGGCTGACGCAGCGTGGGGGCACCGCAGACTCATCCAAGTCTACTTCAACAGGTACCACAGCGGGTCCCTTCATGTACGGAACACAGAACCGTTCCTCAGATCCTTCCTACATATGCATACACACGAACACCCTCCCTGGTTCCTTACGCTAGTAATTAACCATCACCGTGTGTTGCTCAACGTTATCGGACACCACCGAAAAACCAAACACAAAAAAAAGGCGTTGCCAGGGAAAACCCGGCCTCCGAGCCAAAAGCCCTCGCAATGATTTGTTTGGGTGCGGTAACTCGTCAGAGGCCGAAAGAGAAAGAAGGTTGACTCAAGACCTTGTTGCTTAGAGAGACCTCTCTGTGCCATGGGAAGAACACACCGCAAGCGGTGCGCTAACCGCGGGACCCGTCCTTCGGTGCCAGTGACGTGGAATCGGTCGGCGATGGCCTAAAGGTCTGTCAAGAAAAACAAATCACCCTCTCGAGAAAGCGCTCTACCCAATTTTCAAGCAGTCAAAACACGAACAATCACCCTTGGAAAAATACCCAGCAAAAATATCAACATTACATCAGAATCACGTCAGAACGGGGAGGACGGGTAACTCCGGGAAAACGTGTCTTACGTCCTGACTACTCAAACAAATTCATTCCTCAGATAAAGATTCATGTTTCAACTCAATGGCCACTTCAAATTACAAGAACATTCCAAACCCTCTCTCCGACATCCAATACCTTGACAAAGAAACCACTCCACCAGCCCCCCTGCTGTAACATCCATTCCATCCTGAACATGACGTCAAAATCAAATCAATCAATCAATCCAACAGCCCCCCTGCTGCATCATTCATCCCGAAAAATCAAAACCAAAACAAACCACCTGCTACTAGGATCATGGAACAATACTTCCCCCCCCATGATTCTTACGCAGAACTATCCCATCCATCGCGAAAGCAGAAATCAACATCGAGCAGCAGATCAAAGGCCAGTACCAGGTCACAAATAAAACACATGATGNAAAAATACCCAGCAAAAATATCAACATTACATCAGAATCACGTCAGAACGGGGAGGACGGGTAACTCCGGGAAAACGTGTCTTACGTCCTGACTACTCAAACAAATTCATTCCTCAGATAAAGATTCATGTTTCAACTCAATGGCCACTTCAAATTACAAGAACATTCCAAACCCTCTCTCCGACATCCAATACCTTGACAAAGAAACCACTCCACCAGCCCCCCTGCTGTAACATCCATTCNGAACTATCCCATCCATCGCGAAAGCAGAAATCAACATCGAGCAGCAGATCAAAGGCCAGTACCAGGTCACAAATAAAACACATGATGCAAGGAAGGCCCCATCGCTGAAATAGTGCAACACAAAGAACAAAATCAACGAATATTCATCACGAAGTCAAGTGATGATGCCATGTGCGGGACGCCTGCTTCAGACCGTATAGACTCCGTCTCAATCGTACGACCTTACCGGAAAGCGCACCGCACCCAGGGTGAAGACGAATGAACACAACCTCATCCAGTTCTGATTGGACAAAGGCTTGCTCGGCATCGAAATGGCACAAGTCCCAATCTAACACACAGGCAATGGCGGCTAGCAATCGAATGCTCGTGATGGAAGGACACGGGGAGAAAGTCTCAAAGAAGTCAACACCCTCACGCTGCGCAAACCCACGGGCTACCAACCTAGCCTTAGCACGCACAGCATACCCAAACTCGTCTCCCTTCCGTGAATACACCCACTTGGCGGAGATGACGTTCGTCCCTCGCTGCTATTCCGCCCCGACCTCCTCGAAGGTGCCCACTGCATTCAGCCCGAAAAACTCCTTGCGTTCGGCGTTGGTCCAGATGTGGTGGTGGGGCCCCGCGTGCGCCTCCCCGTATGTCTCAGGCGTCTCCAGGTCGCACACCAGCCCCGTCGGCAGGGCTGGCTCAG